GAAACACCTTTAGAGTTTTTCTTGCTCGCGAGGCTATCACTTTCTTTGATTGTTCTGAACGAATGAATGCTCTCATGTTATTGAGGGGGTTCTGAATGCTCATTTCAGCTATAACTGGGGTAGTATTAACCAGACTCCTTAAGTTTCCCCTTGCCTTACTGGTTTTCGGAAAATCTGATATAGGTATCTGAGGTGTCTTCTGTGTTATATCTGCCTCATTCTTTCTTAGACCTATAGGTCAATCTCGAATTACATCCATGGGAGCCTTTTGATTTCTTTTCCCATTTTCTTGTGCCTGATATTCTTCGTAGGATTTGGTTATATTAGTTTTTGTTGCAACAATGGTTTCTGAACATTGAACCTTAACCCCTTCTTTTATCTTGCATTTTTGAATTGCTTGCTCTAAAGGGTCTTGGAAATTTCCCTTAAGGTTACCAGGAACCTTAGCTGAACAATTTGGAATTCTAGTCTGATTTATCCAAGGAACTTCCTTATAGGTCCACTTCTCATTTGGAGGCCATTGTGATTGATCAAGTTGTGGAGTAATTGATCTGGCTGAGAGCATTTTTGGATGCAATTTTTCACTCGAACAGTGGAAGGGAGGAAATTGAAATCCCTGCACATTCTTTTTTCTTCTTGATCACTCTATAAGGTTTGGCACCATGTTTAACTGAATAAGACCTCATTGTATTAACCCAGCTTCTTTCTTGACTTTAGTATTGTCAGAGCCTCTTATCTTGCCATTCTTGATAGCCATTTCGATGATTTCTCCACTTATGATGATGTCAGAGAAATTATTAGGGACAACCCCTATCATGTGATTAACATAAGGAAATTTTAATGTGCTGATGAACAAAGTAGTGAACTCTTTTTCAGTCAATGATGGATGTACTTGAGAAGCAACGTCTTTCCATCATTGTGAATATTATCGAAAGCTTTCATTGCACTTCATATTCATGCTTTGCAACATTGTTCGATCAGGGGCCATATCAGTCATGTGCTTGTATTGACCCAAAAAAGCTTGAGCTAAATCCCTCCAAGAACGTATTTGAGTACGTTTTAGCTGATTATACCATCTGGATGCAGATCCAGATAAACTGTCTTGGAAACAGTGGATCAACAACTTTTTCATTCTCTACATAGCCAATCATACGATGACAATACATAGTGATATGATATGAAGGGCATGTGGTCCCATTATTCTTCTCAAAATCTGGAACCTTGAACTTTGGTGGAATAACCAGGCCAGGGACCAAACTTAGTTCTTTGGCATCAAACCCATAAAATGACTCAACTGTCTCTATAGATTTTATCACCTCTTCTATATTTTCCAGTAGTTGAGTGAATTTTTCCTTCTCAACTGATTTGTTTAGGTCAAGGACCTCATTACTAATACAAAATTCATCAGGCTTCAACTCAGAAGTAGTAGAACAATCAGTGGGGAATGATACTCCAGCTTGATATGGTGAGTTCTTAACAGCGAAGTAAATCGGTGATTGAATTTCCTGGGGTACAGAGGTGAACTCAGGAATATGAACAGGTGTAACACCCAAAGAATTTGTAGGGTTTTCAATAAGACTCTTTCCAGCTATCTAATGTTTATCAATCATTTCTTTCATATTGTTCAGTAGATCGATCTGAGAATTAGCTTCGATTTGTGCCAACTTGCTCCTCAATTCCTCTTGTATTTCTTTCTGCTTTATCTCAAATTTGGCTAGCCTATCTTCAGTTTCTTTAGACATTTTTCTTGTGTCGTGCTGAGCGTTCTTGCTTCAAGGAAAAACCAAGATCACTTTGTTTGAAATCCTTATTTTAATGAATGAATGTTTTAATATATTATGACATAAAAAATGCAAAGATGCCAAATGTAAATATGCAAATGTAAAAATGTAAATGTAAATACAAACGTAAAAATGTACAAATGCAAAATACAAATGCATGTATGAAAAGGTGTTACTCAAGAGTGATCATCTTAGAACAGATTTCATTGAACGCAAAAGTTTCGGTACATCAAACAAAACTTTATATATAGGGATATATTTCATTCCTAACTTCTCCAAATCCAAATTAGTCTATCAGCTTAAGGGATATATTGCTTGTCTGGACTGCAACTTCTTCCATGACATTCTCTTTCATCTTCTGTGTCACTTCTCGGAGTTGCTCATTTTCCCTTGTAAGAGAACTTTTCTGTCCAAGAAGTTCTTGAACAAGATCTTCATATAAGTTGCAGTTCTTTTTCAACTTGGTGACCCCTGTTATCCACTCTTCCGGGGTACTTCCTAGGCCAGCATTTTGAAAGGTTTGACTGATCTTCTGAAAATCTTCATGCATGGTTTTCATTTCTGTGCTCAATTTCTTGTTTTGGTCATTTAAGTCCTTCAAATAACATGCTTGAGCTTCATAAAAACCTCCTCCACTCTGAATGCCCTGACTGATGCTCTTACCATAGACTGCTTTTGGTATCAATCTGGTAGGATCTTTGTGTAATACTTTTGGTATTAATATAACCAGTTTTCTATGTGCATTGTTCTCTTCCATCCTCGGAGTTTCTTCAAGATGTCTTTCCTTGGCCGCATCATATTTTGTTTGATCATAAAACTTTTTGTCCATTTACGATTTCTTTTCAATATGATGAATAGTCTTTCCAGTAAACACTTTTTGATTATGCCATGATCATTTAATGTAAACAAAAGAAAATAAACAAATTAGAGCAATGTAACATGCATGGAAAAATAAAAAACAAAAATAGAATAATTAGTACCAACTAATGGAAAAAATATATCTATCAAGGTATAAATCTTAACCTCATGCTTTCTAGTTCCATGCTTTGTTTGGAAAAATTAACCTAACTGCATGATTTCTAGTTCGCAGGCATTTATTCAGAAAAAAATAACGAATAAATTAAAAGCTAGAACTTATTTCTCCTTTGTGTATACCTATTTACAATGGTTTCAGATCAGGAGAGTTTCTAGGGTTTATTATATGCAGGTTTTTAGTTCTAAGAGTAAAGGTACTCGAACTGTCCTTGTTGATGCCCTCTTGGGCTGTCAACCCTCAATCCTAGTCCATTACAGACTTAAGCGGATCGAGTTCAATTCGAGGCGATACATTTCTCTATACCTGACACGGAGAATAAATTCTCACGAAGACATAGAGCATATGAACCCCGAAAGTTACTTGCTAGGTCTGACATGGAGAATAAATTCTCACGAATACGTCGCTTTCACTCCCACTTAAAAGGGACAAACTCAATTATAGAGCTTTATGTTATGCAATGCAACTGTTGTGTGTGAGGAGAAATGTTCAAACCTCTGACAGAAAAATAAATAAAATAACTTGCAAATAAAAAAAATGAAATATTAATAAGAAAATATATACATACTATGAAAATAATAAATATATAAAAAATTTGAAAAGGAAAAATCATAAATTAAATATATAAATTTTAATTTATAATTAATAGAGACAATTTATAATTGATTTTAAAAGTTTGACCAGTCCCCAGCGGAGTCGCCAAGCTATCGTAACCGATTTTCGTCCGGGCACGAAATATTATACTTGGCGGGAAAATTGATGTGAATAAATGGTTTTGAAAATAATTTGGGAGTCGCCATCGACCTTTTGGGTCAGGTAGGTCGAATACCTAAAAATTATTTTTTAAAAAGAGTTTTAAGAAAACATCAATTAAAAAATGAACTGATCTGCGTTTATAACCAAAAATTCGTTCTTTTTAAGAATAAAAAGGGATTCGTGGTCGGTTACGTTTAGGAAAGGATTAGCACCCCTACAACGCCCAAAATTGGTACTTTTTAATTATAAATTATCTCTATTATTAAAAATTCAAAATATATTTAATTTATAATCCTATTATTTCAAAAGTATAATTATGAGAAAAATAATTTATATATATTTATAAATAAAATGTTTATTTATTTAGAAATATCAGAAAAGGACTTCTAGGTGCCTTAAGACAGCTCTTTTCTTCGATATTAATAAATATTAATATAATAATTTAAATAAAATTAAATTATAATTTTTTATAATATTTAATTTTAAAATACCAGAATAGGACATCCAGTTGTATTAAGACTGCCATTTTCTTCGATATTGAAAAATAAATATTAAAATAATTTATGTAAAAAAATATATAAATTATTATTTATTATATATATTTATATGACTACATAAAATAATATTTAAATATATATACAAGTAAAATTAAAACAATAAAAATACAATTAGAACTATATATTTAAAAGCAATAAAATAAAAGAAAATATTTAAAATTAGTGACTAAATTAAAATTAAATAAAATTTGAATATCAGATTAAAATAAATTAAAAATATAAACTCAGGATTAAAATATGATTTATTAAAATTAATAGATTAAATATGTTATTTATCCTAAATATTTATAAATACGGTTAAGGGCTAAAATATAAATAAATAAAATTTAGAGATCAAATTAAAATGATTATAAATTTGATTTAGTGACTAAAATGTAAGAGTTACAAGTTAGGATGGCTACGGAAAGGGTTTACCCTTTCTTAAATTACACAGATACCCCTCCCCAAAACGGCGTCGTTTGGAGAGGGGTTTAAATACTCAAAATGGCCGGCCCTACGGGCCAAATTTCTCATTTCTCTTTTTCTTCTTCTCTCTCTAAAAAGTAACTCTCTCCCTTCTCTCTAGTTTCTCTCAACAGAGAGATAGCTGGCCGTAGACAACCGTCGACCACCACCATCGCCGGCCACCGTGAGCGGTGGCCGGAACTCCCAAATCCCCCAAAATAAAGCTATGAACACCCTAAGACCGATTCCAACCTCCTTTTCTCCTAAAAAGCTGTAAAATTACCTAGATCTATGGAAATACGTTCGGTATTTCGGCTTCTTTAGTGGCTCGTGTAGGTTCCGATGGCCGTGCTCCTTCCTCGGTAAGTGCTTCTCTTCTCTTTTCTTTCGTTTCTTTTTTTGTCTTGGTTTCTGTTGATATGTTCCTCGTTACTGCATCTCTCTCGTTTTTGGTTGTGGCTGTCCTCCTCCTTTTTTTTTGTTGTTCTCCGTTTGTTGTCGTGGCCCCCTTTTTTCTTGCAGCGATGGCTTTATAGCCATTACTGGTATTCTCTTCGAACCGGTCCAAAGGTGAATTTTCGGTGAGTCACCGAATTTGTGGTGATTCACCCTTTGGGCATTGATGTGTGGAGAGGTCGTGGCAGCCGTTGGAATCTTCGACGAGGGCGGCAGCGTCGTGGTTGAAGCACCTGGCAATGGAGGTGTCGACAATGAACGGCGACAGGTTTCTGGAAGCTTAAGGCGGCGCTGCGTAGAACTCACTGGAACTTTGGAGCGGCGGCTGGGAATGATACAAACCCTAGAAGGGTTTGGGTCATCTTTTGGGCCAGTTCTGGTTGGGCTTGATCATGTAAACGGGCCCTAGGGTTTGGGCTTGAAATGTATTTATTTGTAATAATAATAATAATAATAAGTAATAATATATAATAATAATAATAAACAAAAAATATCAATAAAATAAAATAAATGGATGAAAAAAATTAGTATCTTCAAGCATCATCAGTTCATCACTAATTTCATAAGTATGCGTTTCAATCTCTTTCTGTATTTTAGCAAGCTCCTCTTTTGCAGCAAGCATTACATTGCTCCCCAAGTAATTTCCAAAACTTTGTTCAACTAACTTCCTCGCCTCTTCCAAAGTCCTCCTTGCTTGTAAGGTATTTGTTTCATCCAATTCATTTGACCGACGAGTAACTTTTGCGCCTCCTAGAAGATTCAACACCATTCCATAGGAAGCAGTGAACTGTGATACGAGGGGTTCAACTCCAGAAAATAGAAGCTTGCAGCACTCTTCAGCACCTTCATAAGGAGTCTGCACTATCACAACGTGGCCCCTTTCATCTATGCCTCTACGTCCAGCACGCCCTGCCATTTGAAGCAATTCGTTAGGGCTTAATTGGATGCGTCCAGTGCTTGTCCTTTTGCTAAGAGATGAAATAACAGCGGTCCTAGAAGGCATGTTGATTCCAGCCGCCAGAGTTTCTGTAGCACAGACAACCTTAACAAGTCCTCGCTGAAATAGCAACTCCTCTAATTAGTCCCTTTACTGCAGTCTCCCTCACAGTATCAGGATACTGAAGCCGGAACTTTTTCAATGCGAGTTCTACCTCACTCATCTCACACTCATCCAAAAGGCTGTAATTTTCAACATACTGCACGGCTGCATCACAACCTCTCCTATTAAAAATGAACCAAATTACTGGAAGCATGTCCTTTGCTTTGAGGTGCTATAGTGTATCAACAATTTGAGGAACCTGAAAATTATCGTGAAAGCCATAAATATATATTTATTTGCAAACAAATTATGCCAACCACAAGAAAAGCATATATCCACTATAATATACCTGTGAACGACGAATCGTGTTTTTGTCATTCTTTGAAAGAGGCTGCTCAGACAAGCCAACTGTACCATCAACCGCGCCATTTCTTCCACGTCTTCGTGAATTCCTTCTTCTAGATCCATCATCCCTGTAATTCCTCCTAGATCTATCATCTCTGTACAAGTTGTCTCCTGAAGCAGAAAGTTTTAAATAATTGAGTGACAGCTTCCTGTTTCAAATTCCAAAAGAAATTGAAAACTTGTTAGAAGCACTACCAGATATGTGTACTGATAGTATGCAAAATATTGTCTAAAGAGGAGGATTTCATTGAAGTTATGATTTACAAGAGTGACAAAATTCAACAATATTCACATTCCTTGAAGCTGATAATTGGAGAATAGAAAGCATACAAAATTAGGCATCTTTTAAAATTTTCATTTTCTTTCCTCACAATTTTAACTCTATCAAGCATTGAATGGAAAGAAATTTTATTTTTTCTATCAATTTTTCCACCTTTCTTACCAAGAAAACTAATGGAAAGAAAAAATATACTTTCTATCTTTAAACACTTCTACTCTTTCAGTTTTCCATCTTTCAATCTTTCCACCTTACCAAGAAAGAGCCTAAGGCTATATGTCAAATGTCCATAATTTCTAGCTAAAAACTACACATTCCAATGTTTTTGCCATCATACCACAGATGTAAACAAAAGACATAAGCAAAGTGTTTTGGTAAATGTGGGAGTGGGCAGTGCTAAATTGCTAATCTTAACCCCCAAAATATGCAAGTTATAAAAAAGTGGAAACATATGTCAAGTGCTCATAATTTTATACCTCTAAGTGTTTATCTGGCGTCTGAATTCCCCCCAAAGAAGTTCCATAAGGCCAGCAATTTTATTGGAATACCTGTTCATGTGTGTTCCTTTTTCATTAAGAAGCCGAAATAAAGAAGTCTTTGTTGAGAAGTGCCAAGTCAATGGAATAGGACGCCATGATGATGTTACAAGCTCTGTTTTACCATGAATCTAAAAAGAAAGGAGATTAAGGGGAAAATCACAATCATCTCATAGGAAGAGGTAAAACCAGCACGACAATCATGCATAAGTGAATAGAAGATCACATAGATAGGAGGGAATTTTCAAATCTTAAGCACGTTAAATGTGCAAACCAATTTGGCTTGGAATATGAACCAAGCAGACGCTTCAACTGTAGAATATATACAGTTTCCAATGGGGAGTCAAACAAAGGCATAAAGGATGCAAATAAAGAATTGATTAAATAGAACCTGGCCCCAATACCATTTAGGTATTCACTGAATGAGATATAAGTTATAAAATAAGCAGAAGATTAGCCAAAACCCAAGATAAGGTCGTTCGTAATATGAATGAATCCAAAACAGCGATGCTCATGGCGATAAAATTTCTTCAGCAAAGTTATCAATAGCAAATAGAGATAACTTGTTAATACACGAGGTCAACTCCACCCTCCTCCAACTTCGGGATTAAGGTTCAGTTAACATAAGGTGATGGCAAAATAAAAACAAGTTTACTCTGACCATTTGGCACAACCCCCCTCCACCTTGCTGAAAGAAATAGGTAACCAAAATCATAAAGCTAGAGCAGTCTATCACATTCCTGACAAAGCAAAATTTGGAATAGCATGCCAAGCCCAGCAAATCAATATGGTGGGACGTCAAATCAATAAAACTAAGCCTCATGAGATTAGGCTCGAGCAAACAGTATATTGCACATGATCTCTGTTTAGTAATCAAGCTATGAGAAGAAAAGATACATCAAGCAGTCTAGCAAGTAGTATAAGGAAGAAATAAATTTTGACATGGAGGAGCAACAAAAATGCACAACTGAAGTAACATAGAAATCATGCCATTTCCAGTGAGTATCTCCAAGGCCAAGATCATGGCTGAACACTTCACCAGAACATCCATTTTGAGTTTGTGAACCTGAGAGAGCAGGACAGACGAACAAAGGCAAAGAAAGATGCAGACAACAGGATATAGTACAGACCAATGACAACTCTCAAGCAACTTAAATGATATCAGGGTTGGAACATATGATATGGTAAGACAAAGAACACTACCTGGCCAATCCAGCCAGCTAGCTCATCCGGATTTGCAACTGTCGCTGACAGGCATATAATTTGAACTTCTTTTGGGCAATAAATCACCTGAAAATATTTTGTAACTGGGTGAAAATGTACTAACGGTGATAATTAAGAAATAAATGAGTTCCAGAATTCAAATATACTATCTTCTCCCAGACAGTACCCCATGATATGTCACTTAAGTAATGAACCTCATCAAGAACAATCACATCAACATGAAAGAGATCACTCCCAGACGAAGCCATTCCAACACTACATCAGCAGACACAAAAACTGACACTTAATTCACCGATTAACAAAAACTTAAGAAGGAACTTATGGAGGTTGCAACTTGAAGATGAAACATTTATAAGACATGAAATACCCAGATGAGATTTCTTCCTAGAAAGACTAAACATAGGCAGCCAATAGCCTCCCAATGGACGGTAGAAACAGCTAACACAAGTACTTGGAAATATATGCATATAATCCTATGAAAAATTAAAATGCTCGAGATATATGCCATTAACATAAAAAAATGTCATCTGTAACCTTGGAAATACCAAGTACTTCTTCCATCATTCTTACCACGCAAATATTGAAACTGTTAACTGAAGTACCTATTATACAACATGTTGCGCAGAATCTCTGTAGTCAAAACTAAAATCTGAGCATCTTTGTTGACAACAGAATCTCCTGTAAGAAGGCCAACATTATTATCTCCAAATATGTCCCTAAAACAACAAAGATCACCATTTCAGCTCGGAGGGTTCATATCACCAACAATTATTTTCACTACAGCTTAATCACGATCCAATCCCTTTGGACATTGTGGCAATACTAGTGTGAAAGTTGTTCGGAGGTACATGAACCCCACAATAATGGTGAGGTTTAAAGTTTATGCAGTTATAGTATGTTTCAAACCAAATTCATGCACAGACTCATGGAACTAAAAATTAAGTGAAAAAAAGACAACAGAAAACGAAAACTGTAGTTCATTATGCATTTTAAGGGGAGGATATAGCTTAAATTACCGAAACTGTCGAAACTTCTGATTGGGCAATGCCTTAAGCGGAGTTGTGTAAAATAACCTCCTCCTCCTGGCTACCGTCGCTACCGCAGGAGCTTCAGCAATTAAAGTCTTTCCGCTATTGGTGGGCGCTGAAACCACCACCGATGAACCCCTTAAAAATGTTTCTATCACCATTCTCTTCAAGCAAAAACAGGCAATATCATTAGAACTTCAATTTCGCCTCTTAAAAAAAATAAAAAGAAACAAGTAAATATTGAAAATAAGGAACCTGAAATTTACCTATGCGAAAATCGTATATCAGCAAGTGCATCGAAGTCAATCATTTCCTCCCCGAACTGCATGACTAAATTACAAAGCTTTTCCGGCTATTGGCGTCCTAATCCTTATGCCTCCATTGAAGTTGTTATTGCTCAGAGCAACAGCCTTGCTGAAGTTTTCGTAATCTCCTTTTCCTTTCTTTCTTTTCCTGTATTTAACCCTCCTTTATCTTCTTTTACTTAACAAATGTTTTATCCATCTCAAAAGGGAACATACAGCGTAAATGGCAAAGTTATCAAGCTTCAAAGTAAAGTTGTTGCCAACGCTTCCAAGGTAAATTTTGTAACCAAATCCAATATTTTCTTCTTCTTTTTGGTCAACTCCTAGCTACATGTTTTGGTATCATGTTGATTTCTTTTTTCCATTTGTTTCTGTAGATTTCGGTCAATTCTAGTTATGAATTTATGATATTTACTAGTGAGTGGTAAGTTAGATAGAGAAATGTTGATAGGAGTAAATTTTCCTTTGTGAAGCTTTCATATCTTCAAATATTTTTTCTTTGGAATGTTTCGAGTGTTGAGCTTAGAGCCTCGATTTTTTCCTTTTCTGCCTAAATGATCCTAGTAATTGATGAATTTATGATATTTACTAGTGAGTGGTAAGTTAGATAGAGAAATGTTGATAGGAGTAAATTTTCCTTTGTGAAGCTTTCATATCTTCAAATATTTTTTCTTTGGAATGTTTCGAGTGTTGAGCTTAGAGCCTCGATTTTTTTCCTTTTCTGCCTAAATGATCCTAGTAATTGACTGTTGAAAGTATGCAGTTTGAGTTCCTTTTCCATTGAAGGCGGGTCTAACTTGAATTGTCAACGCGCTTGCGAATAGCAAATTATTGATACGGCATGAATACAGAAAATTAGTTGATGTGCTGTAATGTGATTACTTAACAGAAATAATAGCTAAATATGGAAGAAGAAACTGTGTCCTTTCTCTTGGATTTATTAGTGCCCACCCATTTCTCCTTTTTGAGTTCTTTTAATTTTTCTTTGCTTGTGTTAACTACCCAAGAAAGAGGGAGAAGATGAAGTAAGAACACATGGTAAAGGGAGGAAGAAGATGAAGCGACAACCCATGTTATTACTTTCAACATTCGACACTCCATGTGGCGGTCAACTCAATTAAAGTAATGATAATATTAATAATCGATATGTGATTTTTAAAACATTAATAGTACAAATAAAGATATACTTAAACATTAGTGATTGTTTAAGTAGTTTATTCTTTAATTTAATTACGAGTTATTGAAATAGAAATAAAATGTAATATTAAATATAATTTTAAAATAGTTGAATAATTAAAATAAAAGTAAATAGGTAGTGTAGTTAAATAATTATAAAAATAGTATAAAACATGTTCTGTTAAGATAATGCCCAAAAGTTCGTGTTTCCTGCCTGGAAATTGGAAACCATAAAAAGAAAGAAAAAACAATAAAATAAAGTAATTCAGAATACGACTTGGGGCTCTTAAACTTGTCGTCTCCTTTTTTTGCCTCGTTAGCTGGAAACCCTCGATAGAATGAACCGAAGCAAAAGTCAAATTAAAAGGTTAAACAATAATTCCCCAACGAGCAAAACGGACCCTTTCTCCCTCAATGTCCAACTCCAATGGCTCCCAAACTCTAGGGCAAATTTCAATCCCCCAAACTCTCTCGATCCTTGACCCCGAACCCAATTTCGTGCGTTCTTTGTTTCCCATGTCTCGGCTATTCAATCGTTTCCTTTTATGCTTGTTTCTCTGTGTTTTAGGGTTTGGGTTTGGCTTTGATTCGGCTGAAGCCTTCAAAGTTCCGTTTAGGGTCGGTGATGTTCTCCCAGCGCTTCCGCGCCAGATATCCTGGCCGGTGCTGAACAGTATTCATTCCGCCGTTGACTTGTTGCCGGCATTTGTCGGATCTGTGACCCCAAACAATGGGTCGATTGACTGGAAAGGAGCTTGCTTTCATGGAAACGAGGCTCGTCTCGAGTTCACTCACGACGATTCGGGGTTGGGCGGTGGAGCTCTTCATCTCACGGTTCGTATATTTGGCCTCTTGATCGTTATGTCCGTTGTTATAATTGACCCTTTTATTACAGTGGTTGACAGGATATTTACTCTCATGTTAATATTTACCCGTTTATTGATGTCGTTTGAGTTTAATTACACTTAGTTTCAGTTACTTTAGAGCATTAATTGAATTGGTTTCATTTTTCCTTTGATCCAAGGTTATTGATTATGTCTACTAGACTATGGTTACCTCTATTTTAAATTTTTAATAAGCTTTAGCAACTTTAAGTGTTATTCATCTATTTTTAGTATACTATGGTTACTAACTTACTAATGCTTATTAAGTTTTAGCAACTTTTTTTAGATTCTTTAATTTTCCTTTATAGACTTCAAATTGCAAGTTGAAAATTTGGTTGGCATGATGTCGGTTATTGTTTACATGCTACAGTTAATTTTGGAGTGTTGATTTTCGTCTGAACTGTAAAAAATTTCTTTTTACAGACATCTGAAGCGCATAGCTGGACTTGTATGGATCTTTATGTCTTTGCAACACCTTATAGGGTTACTTGGGATTACTACTTTTCTGCTCGGGAGCACAAATTGAAATTCGATTCTTGGGAAGAACCTGCTGAATTGGATTACGTATGTTTCTCAGTTATGTCTTTGAATATCGTTGGAAATATGTTTAATGCATGAAAATGGATTTCTGAATATTTTTTTGTTGTTGCAGGTAAAACAACATGGAATCTCTGTATTTCTAATGCCATCTGGAATGCTTGGCATTGCTTTCCTTAGTTGATGTATTACCTCTGTTCTCAAATACTAATTGGGGTCAGAATGCCAACCTCGCTTTTTTGAAAACACACATGGGTGCTTCATTTGAAAAACGTCCTAAGCCATGGGGTGCAGTGATAAATCCAGAAGATGTGCATACCGGTGACTTTTTGGCAGTGTCAAAGATCCGTGGCCGTTGGGGTGGATTTGAGACATTAGAAAAATGGGTGACTGGAGCTTTTGCTGGTCATACTGCAGTTTGCTTGAAGGATGACATGGGTAACCTACGGGTTGCTGAATCAGGACATGAAAATGAAAAGGTATGCTATAAATAACAAGCCGATTGCAGATTGTGAACAATATTTATGTATTTATGTTTGCTTCCTTTTCTCTTCGTACACTTACTCGACCAAAAATGAATAAATAAAGGTGTTAAAAATGATGTCTAGGATTCAATTAACGCTAGGGTTTAACACTTTATGGTTCTTATCTAGTTGCCTGTTGAACCACCACCCTCTTATTGGTTGTACTTTCTTCCTTATGCCTATTACTTGCATGCAATTTGCAGGGTGAAGAAATTATAGTGGTTATTCCATGGGGATGAATGGTGGGAGTTGTCACTGAAGGATAGTTCTAATCCTCATATAGCATTACTTCCTTTACATCCAGATATACGTGCAAAGTTCAACTCCACCGCAGCATGGGAGTATGCTCGGAGCATGTCAGGCAAGCCATATGGTTACCACAACATGATATTTAGTTGGATAGACACTGTAGCAGACAACTATCCACCACCTCTTGATGCTCACTTGGTAGGCATCCCCTCTGACCATTCTTTGCATTCTGAGCACGCTCTGCTGCACTTGTACTCAGGATGAGATGCAGATAGTTTTACCGGCAAAACATCAGGATACTGAGTTTGCTAAATGTAGCTTGTTTTGCAAGTCCTAACTAGATTTTTTATTGTAGGTCATTTCTGTCATGTCTATGTGGACTAGAGTGCAGCCAGCATATGCTGCAAATATGTGGAATGAAGCTTTAAATATGCGGCTAGGGACTGAGGTATTCTGCCTATTCCTCTGTTACTTTAATATATCTATACCCGTTACTTTACGAGAAATTGTTGATCCCCTCTTCCCACTCTCTTGTCTCTCAACAAATGATTTTGGACTTCCACCAAAGTAGAACATGGGAAGAAATATGAGTTAATTAGATAACCCGTCTTGGTGGGTTGTAGGGTTTGGATCTGTACGGGATATTAGAGGAGACTGAAAGGCGTGGCATAACCTTTGATCAATTGCTCACCATCCCAGAACAAGATGAATGGGTATACAGTGATGGAAAGTCAACAACATGTGTTGCCTTCATCCTTGAGATGTATAAAGAGGCCGGGGTCTTTGGTCCTATTTCTAACTTGATTCAAGTCACTGAATTCACCGTATGTTTCATCGTTACGAACATTTTTCAATTTCGATGTTCTTTTGACTCGATCTTACAGGATATGAGTTTTCTTTTTACAGATCCGCGACGCATACATGCTTAAGATATTCGAGAACAACCAAACACGGCTGCCTAGTTGGTGCAACAACGGGGATGGGCGTTTTCCATTCTGTCAGATTCTGGGTGAGTATTGGATGGAATTGCCATTTTACAACACCTTGGAGCCGTATGCCAATATGAATGAAAATTGTCCATCCTTACCTCCAATTTATGATAGGCCCACGAGATGTTAAAAGTTCGTCGTCTATCATGTTTGTATTAAATGCTCCTTCAACTGCACCTGCACTATATATATTCTTCCACTCAATTTCTGTTTATATTAGTGTCCCTGACGTACTTAAATCAGTATTGTAGTATATAAAATATCTCCATATTTTTTTTATTCTAATTTCACTCTAAAATAAATCGTAAAATAAAAAATTATAATTTTTTATTCTAATTTTCACTCTAAAATAAACTTTTTAAGCATCATCCTAGGCAACGGCATAGTGTTGTCGTTTTTTTTCCTCTTATCTTAATTATTTTTAATTTAAGATCTAAATAATGTTTCTTTTGATCATGAAATATCGGCGATCTCATATATATATATATATATATATATAGTTAAATCTTCTTTTATAGCATTTTGTTGATGATTTCATAATTATTCTCAGAACAATTCTCAGAGCAATTTGTCAAATTGATTTTCTCAATCTTCATGTATTTATCAATAAAAAATTATTGATAGTATTAGAATTTCCCTTGAATTTTTATATCAAGATTGTGTTGTATTTGTTGTATCTTATTTTCTGAAAGCTAGATTTGATTTGGACCGTATCAACAAGTTCTTCACGTAAGTAGAAGACAACCTTCTCAAGGTCGAAAAAAAACCCAACACTAAGCACCCATTATACTCACAAAAGTCAGAACCATTAATTCAATAAATCTGAATCCATCAGCATGTATGTTCTTACATCGCAAACTATGCAATCAAACCCTAACACAACTACACGATTCTAACACGGTTACGCAAACGAAGAGCAGGGAACGAACCGAAAACAAACAAAACAAAAACATGATTTGTACAGAAATAATACATATTAGTTCACATAATTTTTCCTCACAAACAACGATAATTATTTTTGCGTCGATAAGCATCGATCACGACGATGATTGTTATTTCTTGGTAGTCTTGCTATACTTTTGTTTGATCCAAGTAAAACCTACTTTAGCTTTCTTCATCCCTGTTATTTCCGCCGATTTCGTTTTCCCCTCACCGTCTTCCACCTTCTTCGAGTACTTAGCCTTGGACCCTCCGGCTCCGGCCTTTCAAGGTTCGGTCGGGTAGGGGTCCGGTCCGTTGTCCCATTGATCAGCCCATGATGTTCCGTACGAACCTAGCTTACAAGTTTGGTCCCTTCATTTTGTTTCCTCTTTAGTTTTAGGACAAAATGAAGGTATTACAATATTCATACAATTAATTTATAAACTTTTTAGCATATATATGTTTATAATATTGTTTTAGTATAAAAGTGACCCTCGCCTACGAAAGGCGCGCGCATGCGCCTAGGCTCCAGGACCTTTTGCACCTAGGTGCGCCTTGCGCCTTTTAAAACCCATGACCCTAGGCGCAATTAATGGACAATAAAAGTAGTCTTTTACAAAATTTTCTTTATGGTGTCATTGCTTTCATTCCTTACCATTGTTACCAAGTTATCCAGTTGGATCTAAGGTGCAATATATTTTTCTACGGCATGCAAATTCATTTCATGTGAATGAAACATGATATGCCTTATGATACATTTTTATTAGGACGCAACTTTGGAGATGATGGACTACTTTTTCTTGCCGAGAGCTTAGGTTACAATCAGGTTATGCTTCCCTAGCCTTTATTTGACTGTGTTGTTTTATGATTTTATTGTTGCCTATTATTATCATCGAGGTTTTGTACCTTATGTTCTGTTAGATCTTCATTTTCACTGTATTGTCTACAAACAATTCTATATCATTATTGAAGCTTTGAAGCATTGATGCTCCTGGTTATGCATTCTCTGAATGAACACCTCTCCTTTTCAGATTGTTGAGGAAGTAAGTTTTGCTGCTAATGGCATAACAGCCACAGGAATAAAAGCCTTTGACGGTGTTCTTCAAGCAAATACGGTATTGAAAACACTTAATCTTTCAGGAAACCCATTGGAGATGGAGGAGTAAAGGTCAGCCTAAATTCTCCTTGATATAACTGACAACTTAAAATGGTTAAATGCTCCTGTCCTGCAACACCGAGGGATATGTTGCCTATATTTAGGTACCTAATATTTATCGGGATATATTGTCTCTACGTAGAGATTCCTGTCTCTTTAGTATTTCTCAGCAGTATTTTATTGTTACTGCATTTTCATTATTATACAGTTCTTTCTCATTCACATTCCTAGATTCTCATTTCTTTCATATTTCTCAACAGTATTTTATGATTACTGCATTTACATTCTTGTACGGAGCTGTCTCATTCACAATAACATTATATTGGTAAAGTCATTTACGTCGCTTGTATTTGTTTTTAATTTGATAATGTCATAACGAACTACAATGGGATCGAATCACATACAAAGGTAGAAACTGATGCATAAATTGCATTTATGTTTGAATCCCATTGGATATTATGATGTATTGATGTAGTTGGGAGCATGTTAAATATAGATAGAAGCAATACTGTACTTTCTACTATATGCTTCCGGCTTTCCAAACAAAAGGCTCCGAATATTTCAAATGGGATTACTACATTGAAATATATGCTGAATGTTGTTTGTGCCAATTTTCTGCGGATTTACATTTTTGCTGAGAACTTTGTTAATGCTCAGGTGTATGTTTCAAGTAATCTATGTTATCCTGCAGTCCCTATGTGAAACAATGGTAGCATTTAAAAGCTCCAGCTAAACAGTGTTGACTTGGGATGAGGTTAGCATTATGTTAATATCCACTCTGATTTCCCTGGAATTGCTTTGTGAACAACTGAAGGCCTTTGCAGTTGAGATGTACTTTAATGCTGAATCGCTATTCTATGCAGGGTGCAGAGGCAATTGCAGAGTTGAAGAAAATTTCAACCTTACGTGTTGTAGAACTTAATAACAATATGATTGACTATTCTGTAAGAAATTGCCTTACCATTTTCTTTATAATATTGCTTCAAATTCAGTTAAGCAAAGTGGCAAACTTATTTATTTATGTTTTCTATGTTCCTAAATGAATGGGGATAGGGATTTACTAGTTTAGCAGGAGCTCTTGTTGAGAATAACACTATCCGGCATTTACACCTAAAGTAAGTTAAAGTGTTCCAGGTTCTGTATTCTACAAATTTCTCGAGTTTCTCATGCAACAGGTTATGTATTGAGAGGCTGGATGGCAAGTGTGCCTTCCATTCTTGAACTGTTTTTATTAAGAAAAAATTTGCTTAAGTTTTCTTCTGGTACATCTGGACTTTCATTTTTAATCAGCATCTGAAAATCTTCTGACATAATGTTACTGTTCAAGTGGTAATTATGGAGGCGCTCTGGGGGCTAATGCATTGGCCAAAGGGCTAGACGGGAACAAGTCGTTACGGGTACATTTCTTATTTACTTCGATTTCTGTTTGTTCTGACCTGCATCATGAAAGTCCAGTGGTTTTCACATCCTTGGTGTTATTTGTACTTGCGTTTTAACATTACTTCTGATACTTAAGTAATAGTTTGGAGCATTAGACTCCTTTGCGTGTATTTGATGAAATGCTGTTGTGATTAGAGCGGTGACGCTTGTATGCTTAGGTGCTTTTCATGTCGCGGAATATATCGAAAGGAGCAAGAACCTGCTACGGGTGAACCTTTACATGAATGACATTGGTGATGAGGTATTCAATAAATAAAACACGGTTAATATGCCAAGTTTTTCTCTTGTAGTTCTTTCATTTATAAGATTTAAGCATGGGCAACCAATGAAGAACTATATATATTACTGGATATGTTCTATGTTGGACCCTGCTGAGAATTATGATCACAATGAATTTGAATGCCAACACTTGTGTAGAAACGTGGAGTTGAGATTCATTGATACAAAGTTTTGGAAACTATCAGGGTGCAGAAAAAATTGCTGAAGCTTTGAAAGAAAACCGTACAATAACAACCATAGACTTGGTGAGAATACTTCTTTAGATTCTCGTGTAAATTATATTGGGTATTTAATTAATTTTTGGATTATTCCTATACAACTATATGAAGGCAAGAATTTGTTTCTAATGTGTCCTGGAAATAATATTTGAGCCAAGGGGGTTGGTGCGATAGCTGAAGCCTTAAAAGATAATGCTGCCATTACTAATGTGAGTCATTTCATCATGATAATAAACTTCAGCTGCCCTTTACGCCTTACTATGCTCCATTTGGGATACATGATTGACTCCCCCCTCTTTTTTTCTTTCCCCTCATCAGTTGGAACTTGGTTATAATCCCATTGGAGCTGATGGAGCAAAGGCTTTGTCTGAAGTTCTTAAATTCCATGGAAATGTGAAAACACTTGAGCTTGGTTGGTGCCAGGTAAACTAGCTTCCATAAACCTCAATAAAAACCGATTTCATTGATCTTTTTTCTGTATAATAATGCGAAAGGGTCTCTCTTATTCTCTTAGATAGGACCAAAGGATGCAGAGTTCATTGCAGATATGTTGAGACACAATAATACCATATCAATTCTGGACTTGCGAGCAAATGGACTTAAAGATGAAGTTTGTCCCTGCAGATAAACTCCTTGCTTGTTGTCAACTGGTTTAATTTGATAAAAAGATAAAAATTTAAGAGCTAAAAGAGTTTAAATTTAAAAATATTCAATTTTTTTTGAATTATTTGAGGATAAAAAATATCATTCGACCTAAATATTAATCTGAACCCCTAGAAAATTTTGAAATCAAATTTGAAACTATGACGTCCAATACCAACCCCAAGCCCCAGATTAGCAATTACCCGGCCCAATAGAATCCAAGTCAAATTAAAATTCCAAACTCCACCGATTGCAATCCATCACCGGAAATGGCGCCATCTTCGTGTTCGTTGGTCTATAATCCGCCACCCTTTACTTCCGACAAAACCTCAACCACCACCATTCTTACCCTGCGCAACGCCGGCCTTAACCTACACCAGCCTCATCCTCTCTCTTGCTCAATCCTCTCTTCGAAACTCATCTCCGTAAAACCATCCCTTATCCCTGTCCGTGCCTCGCATCCCCAGAGATACGTTTACCCTAACCCTATCCCTGAGTTTGCGGAAGCCGTAATTTTATACACACTCTTATATGTTTGGAATTAACTTATTTTTAATGAATACGAAACTCCGATGATTCATTTTCTTTTGATTATTTGATATCACAGGAGACCCGGAAGTTTAAAAATGAGCTTTTCAAGAAATTATCCAAAGACAGAGACAAATTTGGTGATGATCTTGATGCTGTTATTGACGTCTGCGTTGAGGTAATCGCAGCTCCTTTTGTTTTCTTCTAATATTAAATTTCTTAGTTCATTTGAATGACTATTAATTGATGTGGTATTATTGTTAGTATATTTCCTTTGATTAAATGTTAATATATTAAGAAAGGTTTTTGTTAAATTCAACGACATTTGAAGAGCCTGTTATTTCTTTTGTTAAATTTTAAGCATTTATACATAATCGAGTTTCACCTCCCAAAATGGATTGGTTCAGTTGGTGCTAATGATTAGCACCTTAGTAAGAACTGAAGTCTCAGTCTCGCCAACACTCCCATTGGGGTTTTCTGAACAATCTTTTTTTTAAAAATAAAATTGAATTTCACCTACATGATTGGAAGTAGGGGTGAGTATGATTGAGTCGAGTTGAGTCAAAATATTTCGAGTTGACGAGTCTTATTTTATAACTCTTTATTTGAAAAATTTTCGAGTCGAGTTTACGAATTCGAGTCGAATTGTTCGAGTTTTAATTTAAATTTATTTGTAAATTTTTATGATGTTATGGTACTAATTGATTTCAATTTAAACGATTTTCTATAATTATATATGATATACATATATATTTCTTCAATTTTTTTACATGTATTATACATATTTCACGCATAATTAAGGAACTTGACTCAAACTTGAAAACCAATTCGCTATTTACTAAAAGTTTTGAGTTATTCGAGTTCTATTTTACAACTCGACTCGAATTTGAATTTTTTTTCAAGATGAGTCAAACCAAGTCGAGTTTTTTAAGGTTCAACTTGAGTTGAAAATTTTGGTTTTTCCGAGTCGGCTCAAGCTTTGATCACCGCTAATTAGAAGAATGTGCCGCTGGGAGCACTTGCTTTCAACTAATTACCCCAAATTTCATTTAACTTGTTGGCATATGAAATCCAAGTACTCAATGCAATCACTATGCGTTCAGTTTGTTTTTCTTATTAATGCTCTTCTTCCATCAATGGATGTCTTACTGACTTTTGGATTTTCACTGCGGTAGCCTTTGGATTACTATGTAAGTTCGGTGTTGTTATGAAGGAACCCCCCCCCCAAACACCCCCCCGGTTTGGAGCCTAGTTTCCTTCCCAAGAGTCAAACCATATTGTAGTTCCATTGCACTTAGAAGAATTATTATTTAATGTCCAGAAATATCTTGATTAAACATGCTCATTAATGTGGAAGACTTTTTTCGTATCAGATAGGAGGTATAGAAAGGTTGTTGCACGTAATAATAAGAAAGACATGCAACTGCTTGAAAAACATGATGCAACTTTAAAACTTTTGTCATATTCTTTTTCTTGACCAAAGTATGCCTTATACAATATGGAGAAGGGGCATATCATTATACTTCTTTTCTCCTGTTATGACCCAGATCAGGGTTATTTGACAATATCCCACCTTTACTAACAATATCATGACTCCTAATTGGGCCATTTTCTTGAGATATTTACTGTCTTGTTGAATTATTATCTCAATGGACATGTTAGATTTCAAGGAAACCTATGTTATCAACGATAAAGAAAGCTAGAAATAAGAAGAAAATCTGTGGAGGAGAGAATTTCAGAAAGAGAGAAGAGCGAGATAAATATAAAAGAAAGAATATACATTTTCTGGAAGTATTCTTACGTATTTCCCATTCAATAAAGTTATCAATATACTGATATTCTCAATGGCTTACTGACTCAGCAGCCTTAAATAAAGAAAAGTAAAAATGACAGCGTAATCAACTTATCTCAATGAACTAAATTGATCCCATTTCATCCTATTGTTAAATTGATATGTAATGACCTAAGATTCATGGACGTATTATGAACTATGATGGTTAACGATCTCGCATAATGAGATGGTGTTAGATGTCAGAATTCATTCCTTGAACACTTCAATGAACCCTTCGATGAATTTAGATCTTGGAATGAAATAAGACTACATGCTTTTCTCTACATTGATGATAATAGTCTTACTCCTTTGAATATTTAAATTGCAATATTCATGGCTGAAGTTTTATATTAAACAAATACGATGCATTAATTTTAATCAAAATCTTCTTCTATATTAAGGGACTTCAGTAGAGCATAGGTGCACAAGTTGCTTTAGCAGGTTTGATAATGCGAGTGGCTTCATCATGCTTGAAAGATGTCATTATTTTGTTGGCAAGTGCTGATGCAACATGTGGTCCTAGAGTTAACAGTACATGGTGAACCAGTCTGTTTCTGACTTATTTTTAAACATGGTTTGAGTTGATTATGTCATTGTTTATTAACTACCTACTTGGCAGAACTGGGGAAACTTTAATTAGAAATGGAACTTAGCCTGCATCTCAGGCAGGACAAATAGCTAAACTGTTGCTTTTGTTTTTATGGTTCTTTTTCGATTGTAGGGTAAGGGATTGTTGAGAGAGTGGGAATGATTTTATGGAAAATGGAGTCGTACAAATGCGTGTGAAGTAGGCAGTTCTGATAAAATCATCTCATTGATTACATTTTCTGGGAAATCCTTTGACACTTAGCAGATACATCTCGGTTCCTTTCTTCTAAACTGGTTATTATTGATCCGAAGTGTTCTTCACCATGAAATACACTTCCACCTCTGTGATTGAAATACAAACATCAGTAGTATCACTCACAATAACTTTATCACTACTGGCTTCCCATTCAAATGGGTTTTTTCCATTCAAATGTACATGTTGGGATATACAGAGGAAAAGGAGCATGTGGTCAATGGTGATAATAATCACTAGTTAAGCTTAGCATGTTAATCCCTGTAATCATAGTATCGTACAACAGGTTGAGAATGGTGTTTCAAATCTTTCAATCCAGACAACTTAATTTTAACTGCCCATTTCTTATTGATCATAGTCTTTATCTGCAATGATTGCTTCTAACTCAAACATTTGTTCATCTTTTTTTTAAGTGGCCTAGTTTTTTATGAGCTGGAAACTGTTCAATAGTTAACTGCAAAAGAAATATCTGGCAAGAAAATAACAAATCACTCTTTTCCTGACAGCTAGTCATGTTCTTCCTTGTGTGAATGTTTGGCCCATTGTTGGCTTTTCTCTGAATTTGGCTCAACATACATGTGATAGTTTGTGTTGAAGGTTGCTTCTACCTTTATTAGGCTTTACTTGCAAAAGATTCCAGTTCTGATATGAAACTTTAGAATTTTCGTAAAGCTTAATATTTTCTATTGTTGAAAACAGGTATTTAACAATTTCTTGCACAATGAGTATGGAGGACCTGGAACACTGTTGGTGGAGCCTTTCACGGATATGTTCGTAGCTTTGAAGGAGAAGCAATTACCCGGGGCACCTGTGGCTGCTCGGGCGTCGTTGTTATGGGCCCAAAATCATGTCGATCATGATTGGGAGGTTTGGCACTCAAACTCTCCCTGATGATTTCCTTCACATAATTCATAACAATTTTAATCACATTATCATCACATTGTAGTTTTAGTTACCGATCAAGTTTGGAATTTGTAAGAAGAGTTGAGTGAAAGACTGGAAATCCTAATTTCATTTCAGAATATTACAGCGTAGGATCCGAGGATCTTCTGAACTCAGAAGCTATACAAGTGTTTTTTATTTCTTGAAACAGATTTCAATCTGGGAGCTTTGTTTGCAATTAGAAAATCTCGGTTGTCACCTTCATTCAATTGGTGAATTTCCATTTTCCCTATTTTGGGGTCTTTATTGCACAAAAGAGGCAGTTCATTGCCATTGCCATTCTCAAAACCTAATCTACACCTTACAACTGAAACCTGAACACAAATCAATATTAACTTCCAGCCTCTGAGATGCTCTGTAATGACGGCCGCCATGATTTCGACCTCATCGCATCGGCGTTCTCAGGTGTTGTCCTTGAGCTTTGCCTTTCTTGCTTTAGTTCCTGCAAAGTTTTAGACAAGCACCTTTAGTGTTTAGGATTGAATGAGAACAAAACATAACTGTTCCGAACATTTTTACAGTTTATAGTTAGTATTATAATCTAATAGCAGATGAAAACTTTATAGAACAATTTCATGATATCTTTTTCATGTGATTATCATGCTTATAGTTCCATTGAGGGTAATAGTGGTGTCTGAGAAGCCGTATTCACAGTTTGCTTAACTGGGAAGAATATATATGAAAGGTGAGTGACTCATTTAAAATGATATGCTGAAAAGTTTTTATACATATTCTGGAAAAATGCTCATGAAATTGCACATCGCAGCTGGTTTTCCAAATCAGAGAACTTGAGCTTACTCGAAGTCTTGACTCGAGACTTATCGGAAAAACATAGGAAACATACTTGGTCGGTGGTGTCTGCGTCGGACTTTCTTCCTGAACTTAGGTTCTCTTGTTCATGCTGCTGCAACTTTTTCATCGTGTCCCTTTTCGTTTTGGCATACTTCTTCGCTCTCATGACCTTCATGACCTCTGCAGGCACAGGAAACAGCAGTAAGTTACAAAACCAATTCAAAGAAGATGATGGAAAGCAACAATCAGGTTGAAAAACCCTCCAAGCTCCCGAGGAAGAAAGTGAAGAGCATGGTACCTTGAGAAGTGATAAGTCGATAAGCATGGCCGAGGGTGAGAGTCTCGGTGGGCCGGAGAAGCTTAACACGAGTGAAACGCACCGTACTCCGATCTCGATTCCCTTGCTCGTCCTCAGACATAGGCAAGGGAATGATGAGAGAAACATGATGACCCGGATTCATTCTCATGACTTCACTCGCAGGGATCGGCCAATATAACCTCTCTAGCCTCCCGGACGGATGCTGTATCACCAGAGCCGCCGCGTCCACGGCCTGGCAATTCCCCATCTGTGTTGAAGAAGATTGGAAGATCGAGAAAGATAAGGAAGGAGGAAAGGAGGAAGGGTTAATAAGTAAGAAGCAGTCGTTTTCTATACAAATTCCCCACGACCCTACGGATATAATAATAAGAGGCAGGAGCAGGCCTTCACTCATTTCCCAACTAATATTATATACCCTTTGGTCAATTCCCATTTAAAATCGATGTAAATTAAGATAAAAGTAATTGAAACTGAAATTTAAGAAATAATCAAAATCGTGGTTGAGGTACACGTGCAGGAATGTGGGGGAGTTTGGAGGGTCAAAGGGTTTGAACTTATAATTGCGGGCAAGCAGGCAGGGTGGTGTATTATTTTGAGTGTCCAAAAGGAAAGATAATAATAGGAGAATGCATGCTTGTGAGATTCCTCAGGGTGGACACCCCCACTCCTTATCCGCGACATGCTTCTGCCTAGCTTAAAAATCTCGGCAACAGTCTACGCTCATTACCATATATTTCAGTTTTTTTCTTAATATTTAACTTTTTTAAAATCAATTAATATACATACTTCTTGTAAATAAGAATAATAATTTAACTCGAAATCAACGTATTTTTACTTAATCTAATTTAATATAGCTGATTTTTTTCAAAATTTTAGATTTGATCGGATTCGAGTTGTATTTTATATAGAATGAAATAAAATCGAGTTTGGATGGAGGATAAAAGACTTCCGACCAGACCTAAAATGATAGTGTACTTTTTTCATATAAATTTACTAGTAATTGTTATAATTTCCTTTCTCTATATAGGTTTTTTTAGTATAGGAACTATTCTACTTGAGTTAGTTCAAATTGGGATAGAGTGTATATAATTTTCAGGTCGAGTTGAATTGATAGAAAATCTACCTACTTGACTTCTTATTATATTTACTTATAAATATAACTGCTCGAATACAAATTTTCTAAAAAATACAACATTTAATCATTTAATAAAATTTTAAAGAACAAAAATATTTATATATTCATATGGTATTTACTATATTATAATCCATATGATATTATCTGTACTAAAATTTGAAATTGTGTCACTTATGATTTGTGTTCCCAAACTTAAATGAAAACAACATGGCAGACACAGGGTGATGAATGTGTTAGCCATCCGCTGTTTTCAAGATATAATTATGATGCTGAGGGGGTATGATTAAAGCACCTCACTTTCTTGCCATGGAATATTGAAAACATGCATTCACCCATACTTTTCAAGTGTTTTTATCATGTAAAATTCCAGAGTTTACTGTGAAATGCAAATTCAAACTCACTTGTATTATTGAGGTTTAGAAACTGACTTTTTAATCAAATATTATTAAAATAAAATTAATATGAAAATCCAAACTCACTTGTATAAACATCTGCCGAGCGACGGTAACAACATGTATATGTCAACCTTATCTTCAATTGTTCAATATATACCTATTTAACAGATTATATTTAGACATTTGAAAAATTATATATCAAAATTTTTAAATTTATAATTTATTTAATTTTTAACTTTGATCCTTTTGTTATCCACATCAATTTAATTTTTATTGAAATAAATCTTATTCAGAACTGTTTATATTTAATATAATCACAGATTATAAATCCATACTCTAAGCATCCCTGGACTAATGTCGGTCCAAGAGCCATGTGAAATGTTGGACATCACAGGTTCACATATTTAATGATGAAAGTGACAATCTTTTTGTTCAAACATGACTCCTGTGGGGGACTGCAATCAACCCCTTCATTTAAAAAAAATAGAAAATTGCAGGCACCAATTCTTCTTTTCTTATTGTTACAAGGCAACATTGAACACAAAACGGTGGGGCACAAAATTTAGGTCTTCAAGTAGGTTCCTTGCCACTTAGGCATCTTAATTTTCATTGAATTTAAATCTAAGTTTATATTAAGTCTTCATTTATAAATTCCAGTTAGTCCATCTGGATTCAGATCAGTTTAACTTTTAAATAGTGTGAGGTGATAATAATGTAGTATCTATTCAGAATATTTCTGAATTATTAATAACGCACACACACCTTACAGACACAGCTACTCGAACTCAAGATCATTGAGGAGAATAACATTCCCTTTAACTACCGAGTTCATTTGATGAGTTCCAATTTAGATCATCTTAAGGGCGAAGGATAGGGTTATTATTTTTTTCTGTTTTCATTTTTTTTCCTGTTTAATTGTAATATTTTAATACAATTAAAAAATCTATTTAATATATAAAGATTTTCTATATAATTTTTAAACTAATCAAATTAAATTATAAAACAATTATTTTGAAAATATACATCTAAAATGTTTACAAATTAAATTTCAATACATGCAATACTTCTGTTCATTTTGCGATTATAAATTAATCTAATTCAATAAAAAATTTAGATTAATATTTAGAAATACAAAAACATAAAATGTTATATAATTTTATTTAATTTTATAATTTTATTTGACTTAAAGAATTTAATTTTGTTTAAATTATTAAATGATAGCCCTACGTAAAAAAAATTAGAAAATGAAATGCATTAGATTCTAGAATAAATAATGGGTTCAAATCACCAAACCCGAGGTCAGAGATGTGGGCTTACCAGTATCCTAGTATGTAGTATTTTTCTTTTCTTCTTAATGAATGTGAGAAAATAGGATTAAAAATATTAAAAAACACCTCATATGGTATAAATTAATTTATTTCGGTAATTAAAAAAATGTTGTTGTTTCTAGAAGTTACGAGTGTAGATAATAATAAATGTAACAAAATGATTAGTTATTTCTAAAAGTTACGAGTTCAAACATTAACACGCCTCATGTTATAAGCAATTTGTATAAAAAGAAACAAAACAGTATAATTATGAGTTGATTTTCTAGTTGATCCAATTAATTGAATAATTTCATAATTCGACATATTAATATCTATTATATATATATATATATATTATTTTTATTAAACCATTATGTATCTAATTTAATTTTATTATCTAAATATATTATTTTTAAAATTATTTATGAAAATAGTATCTATTTTGTCATGTAAGATAAGATCACATTAACAAAGTATATTTTTGTCCTTTGTGACAATTTAGTCAACATATGTCATAAATTTTAGGTTAGACTATGCATTTATTACTTAAACTATTAGTTTTGATTTGTTTTGGTACTTAAATTTTTTATTTTTTAAAAACACACATAGTGTTTAGTTTTTGTTTCGTTATAGTATCTCGCCATTAAAAATTTAACACTTCCTGAACTATCGATTTTGGCTTGTTTTAGTACCTAAACTTTCATTTTTTTCCAAAACTTAATATTAAATATTTAACAAGAGTAATAAAATAAAACAAAAACTAAACTTTAGGTGTCCTTTTGAAAAGATTGAAAGTTTAGATATTAAAATGAACCAAAATTAATAATTTAAATACTAAATACGTAATTTATCCTAAATTTTATTGGTCGACGTAAAAGACGTTTTTGTTCAATCGCATCTTTTAAGAATTTAACAAAATATTTTTTTATAGTGTGTATTTTTGAAGAATTATTTTAAAGAATTATAATGAAACATACAATCATCTGTAAAAAATATATATATTGGGACGAAGTCTTCACTAACTGCTATTGATATTTCAAGAGTTGGCGATGGTTGTCGGCGATTTTAGTTGGGTTGTAATTTTTTCACTAAAAGGATCAAATTGATAGAGATATTAAATTATAAGAATCAAAATGAAAAATATAAATAATATGCAGTAAAATATAAATATTCTTCGTCAACGTACAAACTCAAAATTATGATATTTCAAAATTATCGCATATTATAATTCCATTGTTCTTACTTTTCTATCTTTTTAGTTATCTTATTTTTATTTTTATATTATTAAAACAATTGAGAGTTAATTATATCACATTCCTTAAATTATGTTTTTATTCAAAATTCGTTCTTAAATTTTTTAATATTTTAATTTTATCCTCAAACTATGATACTCATTCTAAATTAGTCCTTAGACATTTGAACATTTCAATTTCATCCTCAAACTATGACCCTCATTCTACATTGGTCCCCAGACTTTTAAACCTTCTAATTTCATCCCCAATTTCATCCAAATACATAATTAGTTTTAACCATGGTTTAATCTAAACTTTATCTTTTAAAAAACATATAATAATATAGCTTGGAATAACGATTTTATTAACATGGAATGTAATTAATTTAAAAGTGTCTAACATTTAATTAAATAATAACTTTGATCCTCAAATATTTCATTTTATGATAAAAAATCCCTATTTTGAAGTGTTATGTTTAACTAACGGTTTTCATCCATGAAGAGATCTTTTTGTTCTAAAATAAAATGTTGGTGGTCAAAATGCAATTAAAAAGAAAGAATAGAGATCGAAATTACTATTTTAATAAACATTGGAACTAATTTTAGAGTTATTTCATAAATCTTTTATATATACATAATTTATTAATAAAATGCTATTGATATATATAGATAGATAGATATACATCAATTACATCAAAATAAAATATAATAATTTTTTAATTAAAGTAAAACTTAAATTATTTAATATAAATTTAAGGGTAAAGCATATAAATAATTCCTGAACTTTTAGGGCACTTGCATTTTAGTCACCCAACTTATAAAACTTACAATACAATCATCGAACTTTTAGTTCGTTTTCAGTAAGGTCCCTGCTATTACCTCTCGTTAACGGCAGGAACCTTACTGAAAATGAACTAAAAGTTCGATGACTGTATTGCAAGTTTTAAAAGTTTATTTATTTTTGAAGGAATTCATATTCGTTTGTTTAGCGCTTGTGAATAATTTTATTTAATGTTCGTGAACATGTTTGTTTAACATTCAACAACCAACACTCTCTCTTGACTATTTTATTTGTAAGATGAAGAAAAATGGTGAAATTATGGCACTAGTTCTTAAGTTCCTTATACTTTATAGTTTGAACTTCGAAGTTCATATTTTACTCAATTTAGTCCCTATTTTCACTCGTATTTAAAATGTAAAAAAAGAAAAAAAATGAGAACCGAGTAAATGAGTCGATAAATGAGCTTATAAATGAGTCGATAAATGAGCTTATAAATGAGTCGATAAATGAGCTTGTTCGTGAACATAAACGGATCATGCACACATCTATTCGTGTTTGTTTGTTTCTTCAATGAACATGAAAAATTTTCTTATGCTCATTTATTAGTTCATATAAACGAATGTTATATGAACAATTCAATGAATGCTCTATTCATTTACAACTCTACTTGAGCCCGAGCTAAATTCAATCCAAAACACAAAAACACTTGGATGTTTACCTAAACATGCATGATTATATTTATATGATATTATTCAAAATAAAAATAAAATGTTATAACCAAATTATAATAAGGGTGAATTCCCTAAACTTTTAGGGCGCTTGCATTTTAGTCACCCAACTTTTAAAACGGCAGGTAACGACAAGGATCTTACTGAAAACGAACTAAAAGTTCGATGACTGTATTTTAAGTTTTAAAAGTTGGGTGACTAAAATGAAAGCTCCCTAAAAGTTCGGGGACTATCTATATACTTTATCCTAAATTTAAATTCAAAATAATTCGTATTTATTGATACAAATAAAATTGAACGAAGGATGATAGAATGGAATTGAGTGATTAAATTCCACATGGGAGGCCAAATTGGCAGTTCCGGGAATTGTGGGGGGCAGTAATACACCAATGGTCCTCTCTCCAACTTGTTAATAGCCTGTCCGAAACAGACCGCTCCTCCATCAGGACCACACTCTCCATCTTACACTTCCATGTTTTTGTTGCAAAATACAACGTTATTTGGCAGTTGTTGTACCGACCGTTGTTATCTATAGTTAAGAGATATTTTAAATACATAATGTTTTGTAATTAATTTAGATTATTAAAAAATCATTTTATTATTGTCTATTATCTCTTTTTAGTTTGTTTAGGTCAGTAAAGAAATCGTAAAAAATAAAAAATCGTAATATTTGAATGATTTATAAGTTTTACAAATTTATATAATTTTACTTTAGATAATGTCATCGATTAATGTACCGATGATGGATAAAATTGTGTCTTATAAGTACATTAAATCTTAAATCAAACATTAATTATATAATATTATAATAATTTAAACACTTAAAAAAATGTTAAATTGTTATACGAATCAAGTTTTCAATAGTCAAAGAGTCGGTGGTTAAAGGAGTGATTATTATCTTAAGAGGTTCTGTGTTTGAACGTTCATTGTCAAATGATTTGAAAGTCTTTCAAACAAACATTGCCTTATAAGTTATAATCACTTATGACTAATAAAAAAATATTAAATTACCCAAAAAGTTAATATAAATCATAAATTTACTCCAAAATCATAAATCACAAAAAAAGAATAAGAGCCAATGTGATTGTTCTGTCAAATGTTGGGACTTGTTGCCCTAAAATGAAACGTTAGAGATCAAAATACTCCAAAAAGTAGAACAATAGCCAAAATGAAAATTTTGATAAACATTGAGGGCTAATTTTAGTGTTATGCCATTTTAATTTCGAGGCCGATATATTTGACATTTCCGCGTGAAGAGACACGTCGTATTATTAGGACTTGCATGAAACGTAGGATAATGGGCTAATGGCTATTGGCAGCAGCTTCTTTCTCTCGGACAGTTTTAAAAGATGCTGTGAAGAAGTTAACTTCTGGGCCTTGAGAAGACTGAATAAATATTGGGCTTCATCAAAAATTTATGGTCAAAAATGTTAGTGAAAGTTAATATAAATTTAATATTATAACATATATAAAATAATTTATATTATTGATAGGGTAAACTACATAAATCCCCACCGTCATTTCAAATGTAATAATTTGATTCCTGATGATTTGTAATAAATTGGACACTGATTTGTAATAAATTGGACACTCCTCGTTAACCGTTGTTATTGAGGGTAATGAAATACTAATGTTGTGTGTTAAAACGATAGAGAAACACATCGTTTAATCACGTGAGATAATCACGTTGAACGAATGTTTGACTCCACTCTTTAAAGACTCTCAGTTTCTAAAAACTACAATTTATTTATTTTAAATTAAAATCACTAAAACTAAATGTTTCTTATTAGGGAGAAATACTTTAACGTGCCACATTATTATTATTTTAATGGAAACTAACGGTGACTGTAATCAAAGTAAATTAAAAGTTTCAAAATTTTGGTGAATAAAGTGAAAGAATCATTAAAATTTAATGACCACCATTGTAATTTACCTCATAAATTAGAGGGTAAACTACACTACTTAAATTATTAGTTTTGATCCATTTTAGTACAAAATTTTTATTTTTTTTAAAATCACATCTAACGTTTAATTTTTTTTCATTTTAGTACCGAACCGTTAAAATCTTAACACGTTTAATGCATAAACTATCAATTTTAATTCATTTTAGTATCTAAATTTTTAACTTTTTTCAAAATTTAACGTTAAGTTTTGAACATGATTTAAAATGAAAAAAATAAAAACTAAACTTTAGGTATGAAAGTATGTTTTTGAAAAAAAAATAAAAATTTAGGTATTAAAACAGATCAAAATTAATAATTTAAGTACTAAACACGTAATTTACCCTAAATTAAACTCAAAATCTATAAAAGTTTTTGTAAAAAAAAAAACCCGATAAAATCGTAAATATATCAAACCGGATTTAAAACCAGCACTACCCTATCTCTATGGCAGCAGCACCACCACTTTCGCCAACTCTTTACTTAGACCATAAACAACACCAACACTTCCATAATCCCACCAAAGCTCTTCCCTTTCCTTCCTCTAGAAAGAACCCTCTTCTTTCTCTTCAAAGACTCCACCTTTTCAATTGCAGATGCTCTCTCCCTTCTTCTTCCTCCACCACCACCACCAACTCCGTCACTCCACCTCACTACTCCTCCTTCCACGACGACCCGTTTAGGGGAACCCGTTTTTTATCCAATGAGGAGCTCGAAAATCTCAAGGCCCTGGAGTGTTTCGTTTACCTCCAGGATTTGGAATCTGGGTCGTTGTCGGTTCGGGTAATGAGGACGGATGAGATGGATTTGACCGCCGAGTTGTTGGCCGAGTCATTCGCCGAGTCAATGTTGATGCCTTTGGGGTATGGAGTTTTGATGAGGTTTTTGGTGAAACAGTATTTGATGGAGAGGAGAGCTGTGATGCCACACGCTGTCACTTTGGTAGGGTATTTTAACGGAGAAAAGGGAAATGAACTTGCCGGCACTGTTGAAGTTTGCTTTGATGAAAGGGGTGCTAATGCTTCTCCACCCACACCTCTGCCTCCCAACAGTTCACCCTATATCTGTAACATGACTGTCACAAAGCACCTTAGAAGGTACTTTCGTTTTTTTTTGTTTTTGACATAATCATTAATTTAGTCTTAATCTTTATCTAAATAATTATTTTTATTTTTTTTAAAAAAAATATTTAAATTATAATAATTTAATTTTTAGTCGAAATAATTTATGTTAAATAAAAATAATTAATTAACCAAATATTAACATATATTATTAATACGATAGTTTTATATGTACTTAATTAGTGACGATTCGTATTATATTAGTCAATCAAATAAAAATGTAACATATGTTATGTTATCTAAAATGATGACATAATATGTGTTATTTTACTTAAGCGATGATGTATTATGTTTCACATAATTAATTAAGTACATGTAAAAATATCACGTTAATAGCATATGTTTACTGTCAATCAAATAACGAATCTTATTCAACTAGGTCTGTTTAGATCAAAAAAAAATCTGACATGTAAATAAACAGATGGTGTTGTTTGCGATTGAAATCTTGGTGTCTGTTTTTTTTTTTTTGACGACTTGGTGTCTGGTTTTTGAATGATGTAGGAGGGGCATTGGTTGGCATCTTCTCAAGGCGAGTGAGGAACTGATATCTGAAATGGCTTCTTCGAAAGAGGTGTACTTGCATTGCAGAATGATTGACGAGGCTCCATTCAACATGTACCTGAAAGCAGGTTACGAGGTTGTCCGGACGGACAATATCTTCATCCTGTTCACATTACAGAGACGTAAGCACTTGATGCGCAAGAAACTTCCTGGTTGCAACAGTTTCCCGGAGTCGGATTCCGATGATGAACTCGAGTCGTAAACGGATTTAGTTGAAATCATACTGTAACTTTGTAATATTTTGAGCTACACGCAATAATAACCCCTTCCCAAACACTCAAACATTATGGATCTTCAATTATTGTTCTATGCAGTAAGCACACAACACAATATTATTTTATTTTCCCCCCCATTCCTTAAAATAATATGCAATCACGTGCAGTGCCAGTGCACAAATCTTACAAAATTTAATGAAACGTAATGGCGGTAGCTGAGAGTGCAAAGCTTAAGCAACACTAAGCTGCTCTAAAACACCAGACACAAATCTTAACTAGTATTATATTTTAAGTTATTTTTTATGGACCAACATAAAGCTTTGAATTGAGGTAACAAACTCCAAAATCTCTGTTTTGTAATTTAGTAGCCATGACTGTAACCCGAATTTGACCGGAACCGGAAATTGTGATGATCATAATTGATCGGCCTTACAACCACTGCTTCTTGCTTCCCATATTTATCTTGAACTGCCCCGAAGATAATCTCATCTGTTTTCTCATCACTTCGCTGATAGTAAGTATGCGGGCCGGATCACTGATGGCGATGGTGATGATGCTGCGGTTTCTGCTGCTGCTGTTGCGTATCAACATCCCATCCACTGTAGAAGGCCCGGCTTTGGCGCAACTGATGGATTTTGTCTGCATCTTTAGACATGAAAGGGTATGTTTTGCGTGGAGTCGGGGCTTGGGTATCAATTGATGGGGGCTCATCTTCATCGGGTATCACAAAGCTCTCTTGTGCAGGCCAAGGCATTGTTTGCTTCAGTTGTTGCTGGTGCTGGATCTGATATTGATAGCTTACCGACTCCTTTTGAAAACTGGGGAAAACGCCTTTCAAAATGTCCAAAGCAGAGACACCACCACTGACAAAAAGCTTCCCCAGGGATCCAAAGAAGCCTTCTTCTTGCTTCTCTTGCTCATCCTCTGTTGGAATTAAAGGTGGCCTCACCGGTTTCAGGGGCTGCCGATATGGACTCGATACAGAAGCATTTACTTTAACCGAATCCTCTTCCTTCAAGAGCAATAAGAACAAACATTAAAAAATAATAACTATTTTAGAAGATGTTGGAACCTAAACTAGTCAAGTTTTGATCACAGGGCTTACGTTTGACCAGAATAGTTTTCGAGATGATATTTTTACATACAATACTCGACCAGAGCACAAGTTAAAATATTATAGAGGAGAAACATATGTAAAGAACTTCTACATACATGATAACACTGAATACTCACATTCTGGGTTGATACAATCGTGCCCACTCTATGTTGCAGCAAAGCTAGCATGTAACCGAAGAAGCCAGCAGCAACGAGAACGGCAACTCCTGCAATGACAGATATTGTAATGTGTAAACCTCCAATATCGGAAAATAATATAAGATCCTATTTAGGTGGATTTGTTTACCAAGTGGAAAGACACTTCCATATTGATAGGCACAGTCATCAAAATGTAGTTGAATCTCTCTAATCGCTCGGTTTCCTCTATCTAGCACGAGAAGAGAGCAACTGCTTCCGACATAGACTACATCAAAATCATTAGAAAACTTTGCATCTTCACTCGGACCATCAACATGTCCCCCTCCCCGGCTCAATTTCCCACCAGCAATTGTTGTAATACCTGAAGAGGATTTCATTTCACTTATATTAGCAATTCTTCAAGCATTTTAAGACATTGCAAGAATTGAACATGATGACAAACACTAAGCTTGCCAAAGAGTGATCCTATAAATAACCGAGTAATTACATTGCTTACCTGAATCACTTATCTTCCTGATTGCCATATTCATAGTGTCAGCGATATAAATGTTCCCTCTGTCATCTACAGCTAGTCCTTTCGGATGGTTCATCCTTGCCTCTCTCAGCTTGCCATCTACATGTCCAGGATATCCTTCAGGGGAACCAGCAACCAGCCTCGGTCTACTATCTGCATTTCTCCCATAATTTGAATGAAATAATTACAAGAAAACACTTGTCCATGGACAAATCAAGACAATCACACAACTGCAGAATTGAATTGGTGAATACCATAGGTCCATAATTGTACAAGCAATCAATCTTCACAGGATTAATAAGCAAGCAGTACAGAGAGAAAAGTGCAACCTAATAAGAATGAAACCGAGAAGGAGCACAATTAGCATTCCATTTAGCTCACCAAATGATGGAAATGCTCTAGTGAAAGATCTATTAGTTGCTATTTTATTTGCAGAAGAATGAAATAATATTCATAAATATTGGTAGATCTGCACCACTCATCTAAGTTCAAACTAATAAATAATTTTACAACTCCAGTCTAACTTCTGAAAAATTCAAATAAATTAAGCGAAAAATGCATTTGAATTACATTAAAATTCTTGAAAGTAGAAACAATGGGGAAGGTATGCCAACTCAGCAGAACATGCAATGTCATTTATGAGGCAAGTTCAGCAACAAGACTCACTGCCAACAGATGCAAATACCTCATTCATCTTCCACTAATAACAAGCCTCGGAAACATTCAGTAAGCAAAGATCACACTGGAAAACCAAAGCATTATACAAACGAGGCGAACAATTTGAATAATTAAAGGCAAATGCAACAAAAATTAACAAAGCCAACCACTTGAATAATAATACTATAAGAAAGAAGAAACCCAGCTTACACAGAGATAAAGAACTAGACATCCGATAAAGGTTGCTATTAGCAGAGTCCAGAATCAGCAGCTCCCCACTAGGCAAAACCTCAACAGTGTGAGGCTCAATCCCAAGCTTACTTCCATCAAACACAGTCTCCACAGTGTACCCACCCTCAAACTTCATCATCGGACGGCCTGTAATTGCTGTACATGCATAAATCCCATGAAGACCACTACGTCAGATGCTAATCTCAAAGCCAAAAGAAGAAGAAAAAGGAAATGTGGGTTTTCAAATCTGAATTTATTAGTCAGAGATCTTGACCTGTTTTAGTGTTAGCTTTGAGTGACCATAACCATTTCATTGAAGGGGACAAAGCATTAGAGACGAACCCACTAACGATCTCTGCAAGAACAAAAACAGGACCAATCTCATTAGCCATTAAAGCAAAGGATTTAAGCTTAAATCTAGAAGAAGGTCAAAATCAATGCAAGCTTACTTGCAGGTGAAGAAGTGGTAGAAGCTGAAGTGACACCTTCAGAAAGAAGAAGCAGAAAAAATACAATACCCAAAATCAGCACATTCTTACCCATTGCCACTTTCACTCCAACACACACACACACACACACACACACAAACAACACAGCAGCAAAGAGCTCTTAGATATGAAAAGATATTCAAGCTTTACGCATTGAGAAGAAATGCAAAACCCTATTTGGAATACGGGTCTTTTAAGAACAAGTGAATCAACAGTAAAACAGTGTGCTTTTCATGGGGGGGGGGGTGTTCTTTTCTCTCTTTTCTTTAATGAAAATAGAAAAAGTTGTTAGTTTTCTTTCTTTTTTTGAGAGGGTGAGAGTGAAGAGTAATCTGGTGTGTAGACGAAGAGGAAAGGGAAGGAGACAATAAAAGGAAGAAAAAAAAAATCATAAAAATTAATAATAATAAATAATTTGTAAAGTAAAAAAGACAAAATCGAACATGCTTAAATAAGAAAGAGGACATGAATTTAACTACATATATTTTTGTAGATGGAGTTTAATTTGATTATTAATATCATTGAAATAATATGCAAAATAAGTATAATTAAATATTTTTTATTTTTTATTTTTTATTTATGTGTAAGAGAGAATTTATATATTATAAATATTATATTAAATTCTTAAAAAAAATAATATATTGGTATTTTTTTAATATAATAACCTTAATATACATTTAGGTACATAAACTATATTTCAAAATGATTTTTTGTGTCTAAATATTTTTTATTAAAAATATGTACTTAATATTTTTCCGGTATACTTTTAGGTGCCTAATGTTAAAAAAATCGTTAAGTGACATGTGTCACATTTAGATTTAAAAAAAAAATTTAAAAAAATTTAAAAAATATACATGACACGTATCATTTAACGGTTTTTTTAACTGTAGGCATTTAAAAGTGAAACAGAAAAAATATTATACAATTATTTCTAGCAAAAAAAATTAAACACTAAAAATTAATTTAAAGTATAATTTAAACATATAAAAATATATTAAGCCAATATAATATAATGATATCTTTAGTTCGAATGAGATGAAAATCTCATCGGTATCATACTAACCAGTAACCAACCATAATTTTAACGACTTATTCATATCAAAGTGATACTAACGAGGTACATTTTCCATAAATTTTTAAAATATAAGTTATGTGTTTACCATATAATATTGTTTAATCTTACATATAAAATTTTTTTAAAAAAATTACTTACGTGTTCTTTTATTTCTCATATAAATTTGTATTATTATATATATAATCATTTGATACATTAAGGGTAAGTTTGATTACATTTTAAAATTGTTATAAAAACTAATTTTTAAAAGTATTGTAAAAACAAATTATTTAAAGATATTTCAAAACATAGTTAAATTAAAATAAATAGTTAAAAAATTAAAATAAAAGTTGGAACCAAATCGATCCACCACAGTTCATAACGCCGCTAATATTTTGGTTCATTCACGTCCTTCGTTTATATGTGAACTGATGAGTCAAGAAATGTACTTTATAATGACTATTTTTAATTTCTTTAGTGAGAGAATGTGTATTTGGTTAACCTTATTATCGGAATTTGATTAATTTTTTAAAAATATATTAATTTATTTGTTTTAAAGTTTAGAAGTTTTATTATAGATTACATGCTTATGCTTTAAGGTTTATAATTTAATATTTTGAGTTTTAAGTTTTAAAATTTAATATATATATATATAATTTGGATAATTTTTTAATAATACAGTGTAAAAGAAAACTGCTCGAATAATATCGAACGAAAATCATTTGCTGGAATAGGGCAAATGATACAGTACCATGGTCCATCATCCATCCATGGCAAACACATGTATTTTCATGCGTTACCCAAATTTTTAACACAGCTAATCGAGACTGATTTATTGCCCAAATTTAACGTATCCT